GTTGGAATAAAAGAGCTTGTTGTTAACCTTTCAAAAGGGTGACAATGACACATTTTAATTTTCTTTCCCATATAATGATGCTCCCCTGTATTTGGAAGGTGTAATGGTGAGTGGATAAAAAAGCTGTGGTACGTGTACCCCGTGGAATACTATGCAGCTGTGAAAAAGGAGGCTCTCTGACCCTTTGAGACAGCATGGAGGGACCTGGAGAGCATTGTGAAATAAGCCAGGCAGGAAAGACAAGCATCACATGACCTCACTCACATGTGGCCTCTAATGAACATGATAAGCTGAGCAACACCACAGGCCCAGAGGCATGGAGGCATGGGACAGACTGACAGGTCTCCGAGGGGAGGGGCGGGAGACAGGAAGAGGTGAACCAAAGAGCTTGGACTCGTACATGCACAGCCCATGGACACAGACAACGGTGTGGTGAAGGCCTGGGGTGTGGGCAGGGGCTGGGAGGAGGCGGTTAGGGGGTGGGAATTGTGGAGACATCTGTAAACTGTCAACAATTTAAAAAAGAAAAGCCCTTGTAGCAGGTTCCTTCAGCTGTTTCTGCTGGCGTGCAGGGTCGGTAGACTTCAACTGAGCAACCCCCCAGGCTTTCAGGAACTTCAGGGTCCAGGGCGCCCCGATGGTCACTCAGATGCCTGGTGCCTACAGCAGTGCTCTTTACACAGCAGACCTCGGAGATGCTGCGGGCTGGTCCGAGGCCTCTGCAGCGAAGCGAGTGTCACCATAAAGCACGTCTCCTGTTGTTTGCTGGTGGAGGGTCTTCAATTCATAAAAAAAAAAAAAAGGCAGTGTCATAGGCACAATAGATCGAAGCGCAGTAACAGGAGGCAGGCCTGTATGTATTTTAACAGTTCACCGAAAAGTTATCCAGAAAAGTATCAGGAAAAAATTGAAGTAACTCCTACATTTACTTCTCAGAGATAACCCCTAGTAACATTTTGGTGTTATTTTCTTCAAGTCTTTTGAAAAAGTATATCTGGTATGAAGGACATAGATTTACATATGTAAACTCTTACATTGCCTAGAAGTTTGTGTCCTGCTTTTTTTTTTCACTTAATGGGGTACATAGAGCATGAGGATTTCCCCCTATTCTGTCAATTCGTTTAAGCTCCCAAGTTCTATTCGTTCAGCTCGGTTTTTCTGTCCCATGCATTAAGGTTCTATTTTTCTCTCATATGGGTAGAACATAATTTAGGCGCCGCTATTACTGATTGCTTCCTTTTAGTTGTGGTTGTTACGGAAACTCCTGAAATAAACAGCCTTGCACTGAAATCTCTGCCGTCTAGAAAGGTGGTACCGCTCTCGGAATGAGAGTACCTGTCAGCCTTCCCCACCAGCCAGCTCTGACTGCTTTCATTTCATTGGGATGGCGTTTATAGGAAATCTTTTGTCTTCAATGAGCTCGGTAATAAATATTTTTCTGAAACAAATTGATAGCACCCGGTAACTCTCAGTTTATTAGAGTTCCTGAGATGATAGGAAACAATTTTAGGTTATGTATCCTGGCACGTGCGTGGGCTATACATTGTTTGAAGCTGTAGTGTATTTGGGGGGCATAAGTAAAAGCAATTGGTGGTAGCTACAGATCTGTAGGAAAGGTGTGTTTTAAACCCGAGGTCTGCATTTTGACGTAAATGGTAAACTCACAGAGGATGTGTCTGAGCAGTCCCCCTCGCCCTGTCTGCTGCTGAGAGCGGTGACTGGGCCTGGTTCTCCCGGGCAGCGCCCCCGGGCCTCTCTAAGTCCTCCATCGTGTCCCTTCTGCACAGATAAACGCAGCGTCGCCAGCTCATCCTCTCCCTGTTCTGAACATCTCCTGGATTTTGTTGAGAAGCCTCACGAGATGGAATCTGTGACTCCTCTTTGCGTGCTGCACTGTGAGCTGCCACTGCCGCTGGCCTGGAGCTCGCTCTGCGACAGGAAATCAGTCGGAGAGAGAGAAGCGAGTGAGGTTCCGGGCTGCCTCCCGCGTGTGCGTCAGCTGTCGGCAGTGTTTCATTAGGAGCCCCACACTGATACCTAGGAACCTATTTCCATGTTGGTCGCCAAGGGCTAAGGGCCTAAGTTGCAAAATTTTTTATTGACATTTAATTTCACAAAGTGAAAGTGAAGGCCACTTGGCTTTTATTACAGGAGCCATGTTCAGGGTTAAAGAGATGAAAGTAACTTGCTCCTTTTGCCCTCTGAGCGGGTTGAAGGGAAATGCGTTAGAGAGGATCTCAACCCTTTTTATTCACGTTTATTATGTTACTAGAGGCCTGGTGCATGAAATTTGTGCACTGGGGGGTGTCCCCGAGCCCAGCTTGCATCCTTTCCAATCTGGAACCCCTCGAGAGATGTCCAACTGCCGATCCCAAAGGGATTGGGCTTAAACCAGCAGTCGACCATCCCCCTCACAATCTGGGACTGCTGGCTCCCAACCGCTCACCTGCCTGCCTGCCTGATTGCCCCTAATCACTCCCTGCCAGCCTGATCAATGCCTAACTGCTCCCCTGCAGGCCCAATCGCCCCAACTGCCCTGCCTTGCCTGCCCGATTGCCTCCAACTGCCCTCCCCTGCCGGCCCAGTCTCCCCAATTGACCTTCCCTTGCCAGCCTGATCGCTCACAACTGCCCTCCCCTGCTGGCCATCTTGTGGCTGTAGGCGCTGCCATCTTTGAGGGCAAGGCAGTCAATTAGCATATTCCCTCCTTATTGGCTGGGGCACCGCCATCTTTGAGGGCAGGGCAGTCAGTTAGCATATTCTCTCCTTGTTGGCTGTGGGTGACGCCATCTTTGCAACGGTGTGAGGGTCAATTAGCATATTCCCTCTTTATTAGATAGGACCAGAGGCCCGGTGCACAAAAATTTGTGCACTCGGGGTGGGGGGGGGGTCCCTCAGCCTGGCCTGTGCCCTCTCACAGTCTGGGACCCCTCAGGAGATAACGACCTGCTGGCTTAGGCCTGCTCCTGGGTGGCAGAGGGCAGGCCCAATCCCTAGATGCAGCCCCTGGTCAGGCTCAGAGCAGAGCTGATTGGGGAGTTGGGGCGCCGCCCCCTGTCATGCACAGAGCAGGGCGGATTGGGAGGTTGTGATGCCACCCTCAGTCACGCTCAGGGTAGGGCCGATTGGGGGGTTGGGGCACCGCCCCCTGTCACACTCAAGGCAGGGTCAATGGGGAGGTTGCGGCGCCACCCCCTGTGATGCACAGAGCAGGGCCAATCAGGGGGTTGGGGCACTGCCCCCTGTCACGCACAGAGCAGGGCCTATCAGGGGGTTGGGCGCTGCCCCCTGTCATGCACAGAGCAGGGCCCATCAGGGGGTTGAGGAGCTCCCCCCTGTCACGCACAGAGCAGGGCGGATCAGGGGGTTGGGGCACCGCCACTGTCACGCTGATCCGGTGCCAAGAGGCCTCGTGCCTCCGCTGATCCCGGTGCTGGGAGGCATATTACCCTTTTACTATATAGGATAGAGGCCTGGGGGCCGGCTGGTTTGCCCTGAAGGGTGTCCTGGATCAGGGTGGGGGTCCCCACTGGGGTGCCTGGCCAGCCTGGATGAGGGGATGATGGCTGTTTGCAGCTGGTCACACACCCTTCAGGGTGGGGGTCCCCACTGGGGTGCCGGCCAGTCTGGGTGAGGGGCTGAGGGCTGCTTTCAGGCTGGTGGTTGTTGACTGAAGCTCCCAACCGCTCCTTTTTTTCTTTTTTTCTTTTATTCTGGGCCAGCTTTAGCTCTGGCTCTAGCTCTGAGGCTTCCACTGCTGATTGCGTTCTAGAATCGAAACAATGTATAACTCCAGCTCTGAGATCCCGGCCGGCTGAAAGCTGGTTTCTGGGGTTTTGTTTAGCTTCTATATTTGTTACAAAGTTTCTTAGAGTTGCAGCTCAGAGGCCGGCAAGTCAGGCGGGGAACGTTGGAGTCTGCAGTCACTGGAGCAAGCAAGCCTCATGTTCGCTTCCAGCTGCCTGGCTGCCGGCCGCCATCTTGGCTGACAGTTAATTTGCATAAGGATATGCTGATTAGCCAATGGGAAGGGTAGCGGTTGTACGCTAATTACCATGTTTCTCTTTTATTAGTGTAGACAAGTAAAATGTACACAGTGTTCCCGCAGGGACTGTATTGAATGAATAGTCATTCCCTGCCTGGAGGTGCGCATTCCAGTCCATGACCCTACACTGTGGACATGGACGTGGATGTGGATGTGGACGTGAATCCACGCGCATCGCCGGGTAAACTGGGGGGAGGGGCAGGGAACCCCAGGACACTGGCGGGGAAGAACGCTCTAGAACACGCACAATGAGGCCCGGGATGTTCATGAAAAAGTCCAAGACCACGACCACCACCAACAGCAGACGTTCATCCGTGAGCAAACTCCTGCGTTAGAGAAGACCTGACCCCTCTGTGAGTCAGTCCCCTCGGGTTTGTGTTTTATCCCCGTTTTACGAAAAAGAGGCTCGGAGAGGCACTGGTTTGTCAGAGCCAAGAGAGCAACGGGAACTTCTCTCTTTGCTTCTGAAAGTCAGTTTGCCTCTGGGCACATTAACCTTGAGTGACTCCTTATATATATGTCGCCATCAGTGCTGGTCAGTATTTCTCGGGAGTTTACACGCGTAGAGAGCAGTATCCTAAGTGCTAGATCCTCCCGGAAGGGGTGTATGATCCAGTTGGGCAGACAGGAAGTAACTATAAAAAGAGCAATAAATTCCCTTCAGTCCCACAACAGCTCGGGCGGAGGGCACCTGCGGAAGGAGAGGGAGGAGTCAGGAGCACATCGAAGTTCATGCTCCTCCAGGTGTCGGGAAGATTGCGTAATGAACAGGCCCTGTCTGTGTTTATCACAGGACGTTAGCGTGGACAGTTCATGTTAAGACTCTACAAGAAAACGGCCAAATGTCCGGAAATCCTTAGGGGGATGCAGCCGCTAAACCTGCCCATCCGTTCCCACACTGAAGTCAGAATGATCTTTGTGAGACACAAACGTGACCCTTACGCTTTGCTGTTTAATTCTCGTCAGTGGCTTCCATTGGGCCCAAAAGAAATGGTTCCCACACGTTTTTAGTGTCGTCAGGCACTGTGCTGAGCAGGACCTCCCCGCGGGAAACGATGACGGTGCCCCTCCACTCCCTGCGATCACCTGTCTTCTCTCCGTTCGGTCACTGTGTCACCCCAAAATGGTAGGTGATGGGACCAGGCCGTACATGATGCTTTGAGACTTTTCCCATGATTCTTCTGAGATTCATCCGGGTTATTGTATGGGGCAATCGTTGGTTCCTTTCTATTGCTGCGGAATATTCCATGGTGGCTGCACCACAGTTTGTTTAACCATTCATCCACCGAAGGACGCCTGGGTTGTTGCCAGTTTGGGGCTGTGTTAGGAATACAGGTGCTGTAAACATGTGTGTTTATATGACGTAAGTGACCCTTTCTCTGGGATAAATATGCTGGGTCCTGTGGAAGCCACGGCTTAGATTTATAAGAAACGGCCCCATTTTACAGCCCCACCAGCAACGAGCAGGGAGCTTGATCCTCGGCATCCGTGTCGGAATTTGGCGTTGTCACGATTTTTACTTTAGCCGTTCACACAGGTGTGCGGCGACGTGTCATATTTTTAGTTTACATTTCCTTAATGATGCTGAACATTTGCATCTGTATATCCTGTGTGTCCTCTTGGTGAAATGTCTCTTCATGTTTTTGGTCTGTTTCCTAATTGGCTTTTTTATTGTCGAGTTTTGAGCGTGCTTTATATATTGTGGGTAATAATCCTTTGTGGAATATGCGGCTTTCAAATAGTTCCCCACCTGTAGGTCCATCCTCTTAGCAGGGTCGTCTGCAGAGCAAAAGTTAAAATTTTGACAAAGTCTGAGATTGTGATAGGGATGGTGTTAAACCTGTAGACAAATCTGAGGAGAATGGAACATGACATGTCTCTCCATTGACTTAGACCTTTGTTTCTTTCACCAGCATTTTGCAGTTTTCAACACACAGTCCTGTAGGTTTTGCTAACTTATAACTCATTCTTTTAGCAGTTGTAAGTGGGATTATATTTTAAAGGTTGGTGTCCGGGGGCCATTGCTGGTCTACAGAAACACAAGTGGATTTTTGTGTGTGTTTGTCTTATATGCTGTGAACTTGTTGAACTCACTTCCTGGTTCTAGAAAGTTTGGGAGATTTCTTGGGATTTCCTCCCTGGACAGTCATTTCCAATAAAGACAGCTTCTGTCTTCCCTTTGGACCTGGGTGACTCCTGTTTCCTTCTCTTTCCTTATAGCGCTGGCTAGGGCTTCCAGCTCCACGTTGCCTAAGGGTGGTGAGAACAGTCTTGCTTTGTTCCCTGTAGAGAGAAAGAGCTCTCTGCCTTTAACCATCAGGTGTCATGGTCTCTGCAGGTTCCACCACGGTGACGTTCGCCTCCGTTCCTGTTTTTCTGAGACTTTTCATGAATGACTTCTTCATTTTGTCAGACGGGTGATGGGACCCTATTTTCTTCTTCTTGGCATCTTGATATGGTGGGTTATTTCGATTGGTTTTCCAATATTGCACCTTGAATAGACCCATCTTGGTCATTATGTACAATTCTTTTTATATATTTCTAAACTCCCTTTTCTAGTACTTTGCTAGGGATTTTTGAATCTATATTCATAAGGAATATGGTTCTGTAGTTTTCTGGTTGTTGGACTTTTTTCTGAATGTAGGGTTCTGGGTGGGCAGTTCTTTCAGCACTTAAACACTGTTGGCCCCTTCCGTCTGGTGTCCATGGTTTCTGATGAGAAACCATGGGTTTGGAGTTGTTTTTCTCCTATTGGTAAGTTGTAATTCCTGTTATGCTGCTTTCACGATTCATCTTTGGTTTTCGTTTTCTTAAACTGCAATCCCTGAAAGCACACCTGGAGAAACGTGTGTAACATCCGCCGCCGGAGGCTGCTTCCTCACCACTGTGCCCCCTCACGGCTGCAGCACCAAGGCCTGGTACCAATGGTTCTCGATCATCTGGTTGGAATCAGGAGCTGCTTTCTGTTTTTCTCTGGAAACGGAATGGGCGGGGCTACCTTGATTTCCTAAATATTCTAGACTTCCTAGTTCAGTGGCTATGTTTGAGCAGTAAAACCTAGAAACTAGAAATACTATTTATTTTCAGTTCCCTATGTGGTTTAGACCTAATCCCTATCCTTGGGCGTTTTTGGTAGGAATCCGTGAAAAGATTCGAATGAACCTGAGCTATCAGCCTGTCATCGGGAGATGCGATTAGTCAGTCAGTGGCCAGAAAGAACATTTGATGTTTCGAAAGCTTTTTAGAGTCAGTGTTGTATGGCGGCAGGTGACCCAGGGTGAGGATTCACCCCCACCGTTATTCTTAGCTGTCGTTTGAAACGCCTCTGCGTCCTGCGAGATGAAGCTTTGTGCTCACACGTTAGCGGTGTCGTCACTAAGCCATCCTTTGCCTTTTACTCTGCAGACCAGCAGCCAACACTGTGAAGTGGCACTTCCGATGGTGGTGACCAGCCATGGCGGCCGATGATAAAGTGGCCATCCTCACGGATGACGAGGAGGAGCAGAAGCGGAAGTACGTGCTCGCTGATCCTTTCAATGGCATTTCCAGGGAGCAGGAGCCGCCGCCTCACGAGACCCCCTCGTCCACAGCCACGGAGGCCGCCCCCGAGGAGGAGGTGGACTGGATCGAGAGACACTGCGTGAAGATCAACAACGACCTGCTCATCTCCAAGGTCTTCTACTTCTTCTTCTACGCCGCGTACGGCTCTCTGTACCCGCTGCTGCCCGTGTACTATAAGCAGCTGGGGATGTCCCCCAGCCAGAGCGGGCTGCTGGTGGGCATCCGCTACTTCATTGAATTCTGCAGCGCCCCCTTTTGGGGCGTGGTTGCGGATCGCTTTAAAAAGGGCAAAATCGTCCTCCTCTTTTCCCTTCTGTGCTGGGTTTTATTCAACCTGGGCATCGGCTTTGTCAAACCCGCGACCTTGAGGTGTGTACCAAAGACTCCCCCAACGGCCCGCCCCGCCAACGCGAGTCACCTGCTAACCCTCCTGCCAGCGAATTCCTCCTTCCTCTCTTCCCCGACGCCGCCACCGCCACCGAGGCCGCGGGAGAGGAGAGGCCTGCTCCTTGCCAGTGGGCCCACGGCGGCCGGAGACACCGGGCCCAACGTCACGGAGCCTCTCACCTTCCCAACAGCCGTCGACAGGACCAGCGCGCGCACGCTGCCGCTGCCGACCGAGGACGCGACAGACCTCAGCAAGGACCTGACCTTGATCCCAAGCACGGCAGCCCCTGCCCCCCCGGGGATTGTCACCAGAGAGCCCACCACTACCATCGTCACTACCACCAGGGCTTTACCTTCTGACCAGGTCACTCTGGTTTACGACCAACAAGAAGTGGAAGCCATCTTCCTGGTGATCCTGGTGGTGGTCATCATCGGAGAGTTCTTCAGTGCCTCTTCTGTCACCATTGTGGACACGGTGACGCTCCAGTACCTGGGCAAACACAGGGACCGCTATGGGCTGCAGCGCATGTGGGGCTCCCTGGGCTGGGGCCTGGCCATGCTGTCCGTGGGCATCGGGATCGACTACACCCACATCGAGGTGCTCGTCCACGGGAAGGGGTGCCGGCCCCCCGAGTACCGCAACTACCAGATCGTCTTCATCGTCTTCGGGGTCCTCATGACCATGGCCTTGATCGTGGCCACTCAGTTCCGCTTCCGCTACAACCACTTCAAAAGTGACGAGGGTCGAGGCAAGGAGGTGGAGATTGCCCCGGTGGAGAGAGGCAGCCCCACCGAGTCCGCCGAGGAGGTGCCCGCCGCGGGCCACGCGCAGGCCGCCAGCTTCTGGGACCTCATCCGCCTGCTGTGCAGCGTGCAGTACGGCTCCGTGCTCTTCGTGGCCTGGTTCATGGGCTTTGGCTACGGCTTCGTGTTCACCTTCCTCTACTGGCACCTGGAGGACCTGAACGGGACCACCACCCTCTTCGGGGTGTGCTCCGTGCTGAGCCACGTGTCCGAGCTGACGGCTTATTTTTTCAGTCACAAGCTCATTGAGTTGATCGGCCACATCAGGTAGGAACCTTGCTGCATGGTCTTATAGCTCCTGGGGCACTGGACCTTCCCTTTCCATGGTCTTATAGCTCCTGGGGCACTGGACCTTCCCTTTCCATGGTCTTATAGCTCCTGGGGCACCGGACCTTCCCTTTCCATGGTCTTATAGTTCCCGGGGCATCAGACCTTCCCTTTCCATGATCTTATAGCTCCTTAGGCATCAGACCTTCCCTTTCCATGGTCTTATAGCTCCTGGGGCACCGGACCTTCCCTTTCCATGGTCTTATAGCTCCGGGGGCATCAGACCTTCCCTTTCCATGGTCTTATAGCTCCGGGGGCATCAGACCCTCCCTTTCCATGGTCTTATAGCTCCTGTGGTCACATGGGTGGATATGATCATGTGTGTTGGGGTGAGAACAGGGCTTTCTGTTGCTTTCTCTTTAAGAAAGAAACGAAAGGAAGGAAGGAGGGAGCCTCACTGGATTATCTAAAACCAACAAGCAGAACCTGCTGTGTGCTCTCAGCAAGGAGCCTGGGAGTGAGTGCTCCGAGGCGCGGGAGCACCAGCTGTGGGAGCACCAGCTGCAGGAGCGTGTCACCCTGGGCCTCCGGGGCCCACCCATCGCGGGCACTAGCGGAGGGGGCGGAAGGGGATGAAGAGGGTTCTGTTTTCTCAGCCTTCGGTGATTCTTGGCCACTTGCTGACACACAGACCTCGACCTCCTGGGGTACAGATGTCTGCTCCGTTCAGTGGGCTGTGGTGTGGCCCCCACAACCCCCACTTCCTGCGAGTTCGTGGAGGAAAACGCTTTTATCAGTTTCCTGATTATGACACGAGTTTCTGTGTTTTTATCTGCCATGAACACATGGGGCATTTACACATCCTCCTCCTCCCCCCTAAATGCTCCATGGAACCCTTTTAGCTGAAAAAACGAAATGCCTGGCTCTCCTCTGTGTGGTGTTTCTCCCCCTGGTGTGTCGGTGTGGAGTGGGTGGGGCAGCGCCTGGCTCTCTGAGTCCTGCTTCGTCACTGGCTCTGCAAGGAGCAGCCAGCTCCCCGCCAGGCGCTCTGACCTCACAGGCAAGTCTGGCACGGCTGCTCCTAACGTTGGGAGTTGCCGTAACAGATAAGGCCACTGTGTGCGTCCGCGTGTACAGGGCAGTCTCTGCACCTGCTGTTCCTGTGAGAAATCGGGAAGGAGAAACAGACACGGACAAGACTTGAGAAACCCTGATCTCTCTCTTCATGTCCCTTTTACTCACTGACGAGAATATGTTATCATTTAAAGTTTCAACCTCGAACCATTCTTTTCCCCAAACAACTGTACTTTTTTTTTTCTCCCATGTTTGGTTTGGTTTCGCTTTGGGAGGCTGGGCCCTATCCCTTCTTTCTCAAACCTTTGACCCCCTCGTGGTCACTGAACAAAGCCAGGCCCCGTGGGGGTGGTTCCCAGACCCAAAGTCCCCGGGCACACTCCGGGGGCCAAGCTGCAGACGGTGCTACAATATTAAGGAGGTGGGATGACCTTGGCCTCGTCCGGGTCATGCGTACGTTCTCCGAGTCGCAGAGATGAACTAGACAGTTCTCAGCCCGGGTGCCTGAGTGCCATCTGCTTTCGCTGTTAAAACCAGTCGTTCGTGTCCAGACAGCGACCCGGCGCGGTCTCAGCAGCGACAGGAGCTCCCAGATGCCATCATTTCATCCTTCAGTAGGATTACCTGCATGTTGACTCAGTGTAGGGTGTGCGTGTAGGTTCTCAGGTGCTAACAGAAGCTTCGTCTCTGCCCTTGCCTGTGGTTGGAGGCTCATTTTCTTCATGATAAAACCCTAGCAGGTTTACTGTAATTTTGGTAATTGCGTGAGCTTACCCGCGTGTTTTCTTTCCTAAGCATTCGGAGTACTCACCAGTTAGAAGCCTACGGCTCCCTTAGCTTTTCTGGTTTTATGTACAGCAGGCATCTTCCTTTTCTTAGCGATGTGGGGGAGAAGGCTGGGGTCACACTGCTGCTCCCAGGGGCCTGCTGGGATTCCATCAATTTGTGATCACTCACCTCTTTGGCATTTTAATTCCGTCCATTAGGATGTATTATCTTAACTACGTTTTAAGGGATTCTGATAGCATAGTGAGATTCTGCCCCTGTGTTCAGGTAGAATGCATATGGGTGTGTTTTTCTGGTGAGAATTTTGGGGGCCCCGTCAGGTGGTGGTGGTTGACTTTGGGGGTTTGAAAATGTGGTGGTGACAGTTTAAACTTTTCCTTGGAAAAACATCAGACGTTAAATAATTGATGAAGAGAAGTTATCTTTCTGCGAATTCATGGACATTATGTTTCCCTGGATGGAGCATAAGGAGTTCTCTGTGGCTCCTACCTATGCAGATGGTTTTCAGCATCTCATTGGGAGTTTGTTTTTAGGGGTCAGCACCACCAGAAAAATTGTAACTACCCTAATTTCCACAAATTACAGTTCATACCAGAATAATTTTTGAAAATACAATGCCCACTTTTGATCCACTTAGTATTTGAACAGCTCTTACTGTTGGGCCCAGTTTTTCAGGGAGTGGCCTGTCTGTCGCCTGTCTGTCTGTGTAAACACACACACACACACACACACACACACACGTGCACACACACGCACACAGGCACAGAGTAAATGATTTCTTTGATTTTGACCTTGGATTTTGTCCTTTGGGACGTGGCTTTCTCAGGCAAACAGGAAATGCTTAATATTTCCACTAAAAGACGTAAATTCTTTTGACTTGAAATCACAAGGCTTTGGGATTTACAGCAGGTATATTTCCAGGCTACTCCCTGTAAAGATGATAACTGGACGCCTTTCACTAGAAACATAAATGCATCGTAAGGGCACACGCAATACCTCGCCAGATGTCTCAACAGCTGTGGGTGGTGATCAAGACACATGGCAAGGAATCACTGGTAAATTTGTCAATCCTTGCTCGCCAGTATTAGACCACCACCTATGGTTTCTGATTTAACTTTGCATCTTAGGGGACACACTCGAACCTACTCAGTCAGCTCTGACCTCGCCTGGAGGTCCTTGCACTGCTGTCAGCGTGGCCAGGCCCGGTCCTGTGGGAGGGGTGACATATTAACCATGACTCGCCGTTAGTTATACTTAAGAGGAGCCACGTACCCACATGAGCCAGCCGGCGGCTGGGCAGGAGGAAACACAGGATGCACACCGGCAGGGAGGAGCACGCGGGCTTTCTGGGGCCTGCGGAAGCCCCGATAGCGGACAGGGGTGCACGTGTGTTCCCTGAGGAAGGGCAGTCAGACCACAAAGGAGGAAGCGCAGCTGGGCTCGGGGAGGCGCGTGGAGAAGGCGGGGTTTGCACTGCCTGACAGGTCTGAGAGGCCGCGGTTAGAATGTCTTCTTCTTCTTCTGTTTCTCATCCTCTCTCCCTGTTTCTACCCCCTCTTTGTGCCATTTGTCATCCCAGACCCACCGGCTCTCGGGCCCTCTCCTCGCCGGGCCGGGCAGCGCCCTGACGCTCAGGCCTCCGCCTGGGCTCCCTCGGGCGGGTGCTGCCCAGCGGGCCCACCAGGAGCTCACAGCTCCCGGCACCCAGACCCTCACACCGCCCCCCGAGGGTGCGCCAGGCGCTCAGACCTCAAGGATCCCCAGTGGCTCCCTGTGCGGCCCAGGCTGCCGAGTGCCATTCCCGATTAAGAGACAGAAAGATGGTGGCCTGAACCAGCCCTTTTTTCCTCCTCAGTTCTTAAGGGAATGTGATCTCTTCCGTACACACAACTTTGACCACAATAAAAACAGTGTAAAGACCTCGTTTTCATAGTGAATTGGAAATTATTAGGTACACGTGCTCTAAAGGAGCCAGGGTTACTCCGTGCTGTTGAGAAACCAAACCCTGCCTGTTGTTCAAGGCAGGCTTGAAGAATTTAGGCTGAGAGGATCCCAGTGACAGGACGCGGAGGTGAGCACTAGGAGGAGGGGGTTGGAAAACCAGGGGCCTGAGGCCAGGTGGGTGCTGGAAGGAGGAACAGGCACTTCATCCTGGGCAGGAGGGACCCTAGCAAGGCGCAGAGTAGGGGAGGGCCACGGAGTTCACTGTTTGCACTCAGTGGCAGTGAGTGGGAGCCCACCGAGTGAAGGCAACACGGGCCTGAGCTGCCGCGGGGGCAGCAGAAGCCGAGGGAAGGGGTGGGTTTGGAGGTGAACCTGGCAGAGCGGGTTGGACGCAGAAAGTGAGGTGGAGACCTCCACGCTTCAGCGCGGGCTCCACTGGATCCAAGAGAGAGTTCAGGAGATTCAGGACTGGGGAGCCCTCTGCAGGCAGCGCTGGGGCTGTTTAGCTCGAAGTTGGACCGCCCAGACGGGAATGTCTAGCACAGTTGACGGTCATAAGCCCGGAGCATAATGGAGAGGTGCGGGTTGGGGGCACGGGTCTCCCCCAGGAACACGGATAAGGTGACAGGCAGGTACCGCGGAGGAAGAGCAACGGGCTGAAGAAGGTCGGTTACGGTTGTTTCTCACATTCCTGGTCGTGTTGAAATGGTGGCCTGTGCCTTCTTGCTTGGAGCGAGTTCCCTCAGACGTAAGCGTGCTCTGTTACGAGGGATCGTGCTGCACGCTGTTTACTGAACCCGGGCCCACGTCTCGCTCCGATGCCGCCGCCTGAGCCAGGCCTCTGGGAGTGTCCGTGGGCTGAAGACACAGCAAGGGAGAGGGGGAAGAAAAGGGAAGAGGGATGAAAGGAACAGACGGGGAGAAGGAAACGCAGGAAGGGGAAGGGCTGTCCTTCCTCGGGGAGATGCTCCTGTGCTCATGCCTGAAAGGCCGTGTACGCGGTGGGTACCGCGGGGCGTGGCGTCAGGCTGCCTGGCCAGCACCTGGCTCTGCCCGCGAGCCTGAGGCCGGGGACACGTCACACCAGCCTGTTTTGTCGTCTGTAAACAGGGAGCGTCACGGTGCCTGCCCCCTAGTTTTTTATGAGGTCCGAGTGAGAGAAAGCATAGCAGCTGTTCAGAACAGTGCCTGGCGTATAGTAGGTGCAGTTCCTTTTTTTTTTTTTTCTGTTTGTCAGTCTTCCGATATATTATGTTGATCGTGACTACAAGACCCATGGAATTTGATGAAAATACAGTGACTCTGTATAATAGTTAAGGCTGCCAAGTTAAAATGTTTGTGGATTTCAAAATAACTAACATTCCCCTCAAAAAACATCGTGGTCAGTTAGGATTTCCTCCCCGATAATTTCTGACGCTGTCGACGGTGCATGTCCTCCGTGGTGCCGCTGCTGAGGGCTCCGGGCAGTGAGCTGCCGTCTCTGCAGTCATTGGCGCACAGGTGACGGTAATGACAGCTGTCATTGCTTGTACGTGGGTAGATTTCTATTTGTCTGTGCCTTTCCCACTTTGCCTGCAGTGGCGTTGATACTCCTTTGTACAGGAAAAGCCGCTTAGAGCTACTTCAAGTGTAGATTCTCATTATTAACCTATAAGCTGTCGGGTCTCAAAAAATAGAAGAGTTATGATCAAGAGCTGAAAGGGTGTGATTTGTTTTTGCAGCCTGTTGGAAAGAACATCTTTGCAGAGAAATGTGCTTCCGTATGATGTCATGGCTGCTAGGCTGAGTGGGGAATACAGCCTTACTGTTCCTTGAGCTATTCATAGTTCAGAACAAAAGGCCGTTGTTGGCAGGGGGTGCAAGTGAGTAGGTCGGGGGAATGCAGTGATCAGTGTCATACTGGCTGGTTTTCTCCTCTGCTCGGTGGCCCGAGGCTCTCACCGATTAAAGAGCACAGGGCTGACTCCCAGTGGATGTGGTTTCTGTGGTTGTGGACCACCCTTCTCACCATCTCACAGCGTGGCTCAGTGGCTGAGCGTCGACCTATGAACCAGGAGGTCACAGTTCGATTCTCGGTCCGGCACATGCTCAGGTTGTGGGCTCCATCCCCAGTGGGGGCCGTGCAGGAGGCAGCCGATCAGTGATTCTGTCTCATCATTTATGTTTCTATCTCTCTCTCTCTCTCCCCTTTCCTCCCTGAAATCAATAAAAATATATAGAGAGGGGGAAAAGTACATAATTCACTATTCAAACTCAAAATCTACAGAAATATATTCTCTAGACAATGAAGGGCCCTGTAATCAGAAATTTCCAAGATAGCCATCTATCATGGTTCGGTTTCTATCTCCTTCTCGGTTTGTTTATGTGCTAACGTAACTAGAATATGGACACACACACACACACACACACACACACACACACACACTGTATGATACTACGACCAGGAAGCCACTGTTTTCAGAGACTTACCCAGAGGTTCTCAACAGCAGGTGTGCAGAATGTACGGGGGCATTTCCCGTT